TGTCAACTCGTAAGTACGAACTTGTACAACTACGAACGTCCCAGGAAGACTTGAACGCAGCATAATTATGACACTTTTTACTCCAGTTAATTTTTTTAATTCAAAAGTTCAAATGTTTACAATATCTGTATTCTATTTGTATTTCTATTACATTGTTAGCTTAACATGCTAATACTTTACTGAATACAGTATATTTGTATGGCACATTGCGTTGCTACCTTATAAGACAGCATCCTATGCAGGCATTAGACAGCACACTAGGGTTTGGAACAGACCTCCGTCCACTGAGGGGTTCTGTATAACTTCAAATGGTCCCTGATCTTCAGATAGTAAAGCAAAAGTACTGTCAAGCGACAGAGACACAGCTTCAGATCTACACACACACAGCTCTCACTCATCATCACTCTTTCAGCTTGGAGGACAGCAGTGACTCAGCCCTGACTGTCCACCAGCAAACCACTCTCAAGAAACATGCGGAGCTCTTTTCACATATGAATGAAAGACAGAGAGGTTTCCAGGCAGTGATCTGTAGCCATTAAGTTTGAGCCTGGAACCCCTCAAGTCATTTGACTTAAAAGCCAGTTGACGTCTGTCTGTCTTTATTCAACACAAGAAGAGCAAATCTGAAGCCAATGTGAAGTCAAGGATCACATGGTTGCGCTTTAATCTATACTCACCAAGAAGAGATATTGTGTGTGTGTGTGCTAAGTGGTTTCAAAGGAGTTCAAATTAAGTTCCCACGAATTTGTTCCCGTGCAGGTTTCTGTTTTGCACACCTTCATTTCGTACACAACTTATTTCAATTGTATATCTGCTCCAATCGTTCAGAGAAATCTTATTCTGTAAACCAAACGTCATATTTTAATTAGTAACATCTCTGTTACTTAATAAAACATCATTAAATAATTAAAATGTATTAAATAACAATTAAACATTGCATATTGGCAGTGTCGGAGGCAATCAGGTTTTGTAATCGGATTACTTTTTTTAATTAACTACTAAAGTAACGCATTACCTTTAAATTAACAATGAAATAGAGTTTTTTGTTTAAAAAATGACAACAAAAAATAAGTAAGCCCAGCCTAGGTGACAAAAAGTACCGCGAAAGTAATGTAATGCATTACTTTCCAAAAAAAGTAACTAAGTAACAAAAGTAGTTACTTTTTTATGGAGCAACACAGTATTGTTATGCATTATTTTTAAAAGTAACTTTGACCAACACTTATTACGAGTGGGAAACTCTAAATTTTCTTTAAGCCCCGAGTTTCCGAGTTGGGGGCGTGTCAATGAGAAAAATGGCGGAATCGATGGATGCAATGTCTGTAGTTGACGGTACATTTTTGTTTAAATTGATAGTTTAGTTGTCCTATAAACTTAAATTGGTCATGTTCTTTTTACGCAGCTGAAATCCAAGTAAAAAAAATGCAGACCCTGTTGTATTTTCTTGTAATTTATTAAAAGAAGGTTGACTTGAACGCACCTGACGTCGTAATTACGACATGTCAACTCGTAAGTACGAACTTGTACAACTACGAACGTCCCAGGAAGACTTGAACGCAGCATAATTATGACACTTTTTACTCCAGTTAATTTTTTTAATTCAAAAGTTCAAATGTTTACAATATCTGTATTCTATTTGTATTTCTATTACATTGTTAGCTTAACATGCTAATACTTTACTGAATACAGTATATTTGTATGGCACATTGCGTTGCTACCTTATAAGACAGCATCCTATGCAGGCATTAGACAGCACACTAGGGTTTGGAACAGACCTCCGTCCACTGAGGGGTTCTGTATAACTTCAAATGGTCCCTGATCTTCAGATAGTAAAGCAAAAGTACTGTCAAGCGACAGAGACACAGCTTCAGATCTACACACACACAGCTCTCACTCATCATCACTCTTTCAGCTTGAAGGACAGCGGTGACTCAGCCCTGACTGTCCACCAGCAAACCACTCTCAAGAAACATGCGGAGCTCTTTTCACATATGAATGAAAGACAGAGAGGTTTCCAGGCAGTGATCTGTAGCCATTAAGTTTGAGCCTGGAACCCCTCAAGTCATTTGACTTAAAAGCCAGTTGACGTCTGTCTGTCTTTATTCAACACAAGAAGAGCAAATCTGAAGCCAATGTGAAGTCAAGGATCACATGGTTGCGCTTTAATCTATACTCACCAAGAAGAGATATTGTGTGTGTGTGTGCTAAGTGGTTTCAAAGGAGTTCAAATTAAGTTCCCACGAATTTGTTCCCACAACCTAATTCATTCCATTGATTTAGTTAAATCATGAACATGTTATTTATTTATATGTGATCCTGAATCACAAAACCAGTCATAAGGGTCAATTTTTCGAAATTGAGATGTATACATCATCTGAAAGCTGAATAAATAAGCTTTCCATTGATGTATGGTTTGTTAGGATGGGACAATATTTGGACGAGATACAACTATTTGAATATCTGGAATCTGAGGGTGCAAAAAAAATCAAAATATTGAGAAAATCGCCTTTAAAGTTGTCCAAATGAAGTGCTTAGCAATGCATATTACTCATAAAAAATTAAGTTTTGATATATATACGGTAGCAAATTTACTAAATATATTCATGGAACATGATCTTTACTTAATATCCTAATGATTTTTGGCATAAAAGATAAATCGATAATTTTAACCCATACAATGTATTTTTGGCTATTGCTACATACTAATATATACTCCACTCTCAACTGATTTCAGTACAGATTGGTGTTAGAATGAAAGGTTACACTTTACTTGAAGGGGTGTGCATAAGACTGACATGACACCTTCATAATCATAACATGACACCTACATAATCATGGCATGACACATGTCATGAATATGAAGGTTTTTATGCATGTTTATGACAACTGTCATTAAGTGTCATTCACTCAGTTATGTAATTTTTAATGCAAATATGACATTGTTTGAGATGTCTTTGTTATGAGCTATGGTTAGGGGTAAGGGTTAGGGTAGGGTTAGGTCAAATAATGTCATATTTGCATAAAAAATGACATAACTGAGCTAATGACACTTAATGACAGTTGTCATAAACATGCATAAAACCTCCTTCATATTCATGACATGCGTCATGTCATGATTATGAAGGTGTCATGTCAGTCTTATGCACACCCCTTCAAATAAAGTGTTACCGAATGAAAATACCATTTTAGAAATAAACATAGAACTTCTTTATCCTATGTAATCCCCAGGTAGGATGGATCTCAATTAACTTACATCTCAATCATAGAATCGTCTTCTACGCAAAGAATACATACGATACTGACTGAGAACTTGGCCCAAAAAAGTATAGAATCAAGATTTCCACCTTTTGGATGTCTTCACTGTATAAGTGTTGCCTTAAAATGCTTCCTACATTGACAGCTTATTAGATTTTTGAACAGTCATCATCTGTATGTAACAGACAAAATATTGTGATGAACAAAGAAAAGGTTCGGTTCATTTCTTTGCACAATTAGATCAGGAGACGGTGCAAATAGCTGCATATATTCTCAGGTTTTTTTCTGCTTTGGTGTCAAACTGTTTGGAAGGTTTTATGTCAACATCTTATATACTTTAAGCCTCCTAATTTCACATTCCACATACGCATCTTTCACTTTTGCTCCTTGTTGTGGGAAAAATAGAGTTAGTGTAGTGTGGAACCATCAGCAAATACCAACTGTGAGAAAATCATCAGTGAACATCTTAACAACCTTGCATTACAAAAACAGGTATGATTATGAGGAGGAAGAGATGTGTACATGTTAATGAAGAAGTCCTTCTCATCACATTCCCTGATGCAGGGCACTGGCAGTCAGAAACACCTAAATGGCCTTATAAAAAAACCCCTCCATAAATCGTTTGAACATGCGGTTGTTGTTTCTATCAAGACAAGGACACTGCAGAGACACAAACTGAAGGCCGCATGAATTGGCCTGTAAGTACCGCCACACAAAGACAGTTCAGCGGGGACACGTACAGAGTTTTCAAACACACAGGAATATGGGATTTTCTGTATTTATTCAATTGGCATTGCATTACAAAAAAGTTTTAGTTACTGGTGTTTAAGTAAGGCATTTATCATATACTGTAAAAGTAACAAACCTTTGTACCTACTGTATAAAAAGTCTTTAGCCAGCAGTATAAATGCTTCCCCAGTATAAAATCAAAGATTAGGCCTGTCTTTTAACAAGCTGAGTTGCGTCTGATATGGTTGTCATCTAATAATTGTGTTTGAAAAAACTGTTAAAAGACAGAAAGACACTGTTAATTTTGTGCAAATTGTAACTTTTCTCCCTATAGTCCACTACCATCATCCTTTCATAAAACGTACATGTGAACAACGTATCTGTAAACAACACCATGTTGTGATTTTTTTTTTTGGGCAGAATGCATGTGCTGCCCTCCAGCGGCAGAAGCTTAAATGTGCATTATGTGCAACTGCTGCCATTAGGCCCAAAGCTCCACACCTACCACATATTTTACACATTAACAATGCAAATTAAGGCATGAATGGCCTCTTTCAATCCAAATCATAATAACAAATTTATCAGATGAAATATATTAGAGGCAGAATATTACAGCTAAGCTAGACTGAAAGAAAGAAACAAAGACTTAATCAAATAAAAAAGATTTGGTTTGCTTCAAGGGTCACTGAAATTACTGCATTGTGATTTTTTAATGGAAATGGAGCACATTGTTAAAAAATCCTTTCTCTCACAACAGTGGTATATTATCTATTTTGTCGAACATTTATACATCATACTTGTATGGTTTTACTGTAATACAATTACTGTACTACTAAATGATAATCATTTAGAATAATGTGAATTGGAGAAACGTTAAATGTCTAGATGCACAGTGGTCAGGTGGGATGTGTGTTTAACTGTCATGAAAATTGTGTTATAATGCTAAAAACCTTTCCTAATGTATAACATGTTTCATTAAGATTTTTTTTCTTTCCTTGAAACTTTGTGGTAAATTTGATCTGGACATGTTTTTGTGAAATTCACCCAAGGACGAAAAATAAAGGAAACAAATACAGCAGTATGGCTCAGTAAGATAAGACTGTAAAACCTACAAGATTAATAAAAAATGAACCCAGTAACCATAGAATACAGCAGTCTGTGACGCCCTTAAATCTTCACTAGATTGTTCCAGCATCATCATTTAAAACAACAAAGGAATTTAATGTGCGATTATTTGAAAAGATAGTGTAAACAGGAAAGATTTTCAGCGTTTCAAAAACTCGACAGAATGAATTCTCGTCTTGTTATGCTCAGTGATTCCACACTCGCACACGAGGTCTGGGGTTGCCCACCTCTATGATCTGCTGGGCACTGGGGGTAATAGACCGGCATGGAGTGATCACACATGCTGAGCTCTCACTGGCCACTGACAGCCACTGCGGGGATGTCATTGCTCCAGATTTCTTCGGTTGACTTTTCGCAGTCGATCAGCTGGAAATCCCTGTCAACGCAGATCTCTATTTGGCCCAAAATCTGAACCTGGCCTCCCTGAGAAATACAGTAAGAAATGAGATTTCACCTTAGCAAAACTGATGGCAAACTGTGCATCTAACTGCTGCCCTGAGCAGAGCAGTCTCACTCGATATCAAGTCATGAGGAAATCAAAATAGACTTTCATAAAGGAATATGTTCCTCTATTATAAGTCGCTCTGGATAAAAGAGTCAGTTAAGCGCATAAATGTAAATTATGTTGATTACCACAAAAATAAATTTGACTTGACTCTTATTTTCAGAAGTAAAGGAGAAGTAAAGGTACTTACTTATATTGGGAAAATGTTTTAAAGACTTAAAAGCAGAAATGTGAAGCTTACATATAGTAAAACTTGCAGTATATATTAAGTGAGCCGTTAAGTTTTATGTTTTCATGGCAACAAAGTTGAAAAAGTTGATAGATACATTTTATGTAGAAAAGGTTGTGTGATGTTTCCTTACTAAAATCATAGGTATATATAGGAATCATGGAGTTAAATTTAACTCCATGATTTTTTAAGACTCTTTCCATACATTTTAAGACCTCATTGCCACACCAAGTTTTAACCGGTTACATCGGCAACCCGTTTACTTACATTTACTATAACTTGTCATTAAAACTTGCAGTATATATTAAGTGAGCCGTTAAGTTTTATGTTTTCATGGCAACAAAGTTGAAAAAGTTGATAGTTACATTTTATGTAGAAAAGGTTGTGTGATGTTTCCTTACTAAAATCATAGGTATATATAGGAATCATGGAGTTAAATTTAACCATACATTTTAAGACCTCATTGCCACACCAAGTTTTAACCGGTTACATCGGCAACCCGTTTACTTACATTTACTATAACTTGATTGTAAGATAGCACAACTAAACAGACTTACTTTGTGATAACTCCTTATCAATACAACATAATTCAGAAGTGGCGAACGAAGCACAAGAGAATTAATTGAGAGACTAACCAATGCAACCCAAGAAACAAGAATTAGATCAATAAACAAAACAACTGACAAAACTTATTGAGGAGGGAAAATAAAGCTCTCCGAGCTAACGGGGCAATGAGTTCACACAGTATATTCAAAAGTTGTATTTGTCACATCAACTCAAACCATAGCTGTTTTGTGGAACACTTCTCATGACAAACATCTGACTGATCAGACAGGTTTAACTGGGATTACGGAGTGCTTGATTTGATGCAGAATTGACAGAATGTCAGTATTGCACCTGATCGTGTCTGAATGATCATGGAAGGTAAAATAATGATCACAACTATTACATCATTTTAATTGTGCATCCCAAGCCCATGCCAGTAAAAAAAACAAAAAACAGCCCAAACTAGCGCAATTACCATGTCCCAAATATAAAAATTTAATTTCCATTCCTAAAATACATATTTTACACTCACTGTTATGCACATTTATCATAAACACAGCTCAAAATGCTTCCTACTAGTGTGGCCCAAAACATTTAGCACAGTTTTATTACAGGTAGAGTGCAAACTGTTTCAGTACAAGTATTTCAACCAAATGTAATTTATGCCATATTTCAAACCTTTAACCCATTGGGGAAAATCAACCCATGGCAACAGTTTAAAAGCAGCCCAATTTCATGGAAGAAAACAACAACAACCCTGCATGCAACACGAGCTGCAGAAGTCAGATTTGACTAATCATGGGTCAAAAGTAAGCAGAGATAACTGACAAGATGTTGGAGGATTTGCTCCTCAACAGATCCCGAGCTCATTGACAAATATCTTTTATCGTAAGGTGTGCTCCCTTTACACAGTGCGAGCGCGATCGCGAAATCGAAAGTGAACTACGACTGCGAGCGCTCATTCAAAAGGGATTTAAATACCCCACATATTGATAGCGGCACCCTGATGCGCGAAAATTATATACAATATTAGAATGTTTGCGGGAGCAGACACAAAAATTGCAGGAGTGGATGGGAGCATGCGGTAATGGTCAGAAATTCAGCGTGAGCGGGATCAACAAACCCTGCGCTATCACGCAGCAGTGCAGTCAGTCAGTGAGCGCCATAACGCCATAACACAAATCTTGCGGGATTCCATAAATAAAATACACAGAATCCCACTATTCGACAAATATACATAATGAAAAGATGAAAAGATGTGTAATACCTTGGAAAATGACATTTAAGACTTTAATTTTCCTTAAATTGATTTGTCAACTTTTAATACTTTTTAACGCCCTGATAGTGATACTACTCCTGAAATGCCCATTTATGGATCAAACCCATTCACTTCCATTGTAAATGCCTCTCTGTAACATAGACATATTTAAAGAAAAGAAGGGGCAAGTCAAAATGATTTTTTTTGTGGTAATCACCAGTATGCCACTGTTGTGCTGTTAATGGAATATTTAATACACTTTCCTTTTTGTGTTCTTGTCTTTTTATCTTCAAACAACCTTTTCAACCTTTTTTCTAACCACAAAGGTTGGTCTTTCTTCATTCATACCTTTCCTGGATGGACGCACTGAATCTTTGTCTTCACATTGTAGAAGCTAGTAATGGCTGTCTCCACCTCATCCAGCTATAAAAAAATAAATAAATACATTTACTCACAGCTGACCATAATCACAAGATTCTTGTTTACTTCAGCTCAAAAATAGAGAAGTTGAAAAAACGCAACTAAAGATTGCAAAACGTCAGGCTATGAGTGTTGAAATGCTGATGTTGCGGCTGGGCAACAATAACGCACACAGAGGTTTAGGAAAATTCTTTGGGGCCTCTTATTTGATGGATGATACTTTTGGGAAATTTTTTACCTGGCCGTTATTTCAATTATATCATTCACGTAATCACAAGTTGTGGAATCACAGACAGGAACAGAAAACAGCAGGCTGAACCATTACAGTAAACAACTTTAACGCAACCCATGCAGCTGAATTATTTAAATATATAAAAAATATACATATATATACAAATCGATCACAGACTATACGTGCTCTACCTCTCAGGTCAAAGGTCAAAGAAAAATATTTACTTCATCTTCAAAGGACCACATATAGTTCAGTGTCTCTTAAATGATAATTACAGCAGCGAAGGGAATTAAAGTACTTACTGTGTAGTGCTGCTCAGAGGGCACGATTCTGTTGTTCTTTAAAACACTGAAAACACAAAAGACTCATGAGGAAACCAGTGTCAACTAGTGCTGGGTGGTATGATGCTATTGGTTAACACATTTATGTGAGATAGCAGAAATATGTTAAACGGTAGTGTTTATATAACTACGCAGCCATTATGGGCTGGACTGCTTTACTTGGGACGTGTCCCAAACTTGTTATTAAGACATGTAATATGAATCAATGTTTTAATTGTTTATGCTTGCCGAGCAGCATTGTTATTTGCTACATTAAAGGGATAGTTCATAATTTACTCTAGGACTGGCCTCGACTAAGGATTTTTCTGGTCGACTAGTAGTCGTTCATTTTAGCATTAGTCGACCAATCGCACGTTTATTAATAAACCATTTAAATCATTATAATGAGCCTTTAATTGCCTATAGCCTAATAAGCACTCAAGCACATGCATAAAGCTTGCCACAGCGCACCGGCAGAAGTAATGATTATGAATGTGTCAGGGAAAAACAGTAAGGCGACTGCCTACTAGTGTGGCCCAAAACATTTAGCACAGTTTTATTACAGGTAGAGTGCAAACTGTTTCAGTACAAGTATTTCAACCAAATGTAATTTATGCCATATTTCAAACCTTTAACCCATTGGGGAAAATCAACCCATGGCAACAGTTTAAAAGCAGCCCAATTTCATGGAAGAAAACAACAACAACCCTGCATGCAACACGAGCTGCAGAAGTCAGATTTGACTAATCATGGGTCAAAAGTAAGCAGAGATAACTGACAAGATGTTGGAGGATTTGCTCCTCAACAGATCCCGAGCTCATTGACAAATATCTTTTATCGTAAGGTGTGCTCCCTTTACACAGTGCGAGCGCGATCGCGAAATCGAAAGTGAACTACGACTGCGAGCGCTCATTCAAAAGGGATTTAAATACCCCACATATTGATAGCGGCACCCTGATGCGCGAAAATTATATACAATATTAGAATGTTTGCGGGAGCAGACACAAAAATTGCAGGAGTGGATGGGAGCATGCGGTAATGGTCAGAAATTCAGCGTGAGCGGGATCAACAAACCCTGCGCTATCACGCAGCAGTGCAGTCAGTCAGTGAGCGCCATAACAGATGAAGTCAAATCTTGCGGGATTCCATAAATAAAATACACAGAATCCCACTATTCGACAAATATACATAATGAAAAGATGATACAAAATGTAATACCTTGGAAAATGACATTTAAGACTTTAATTTTCCTTAAATTGATTTGTCAACTTTTAATACTTTTTAACGCCCTGATAGTGATACTACTCCTGAAATGCCCATTTATGGATCAAACCCATTCACTTCCATTGTAAATGCCTCTCTGTAACATAGACATATTTAAAGAAAAGAAGGGGCAAGTCAAAATGATTTTTTTTGTGGTAATCACCAGTATGCCACTGTTGTGCTGTTAATGGAATATTTAATACACTTTCCTTTTTGTGTTCTTGTCTTTTTATCTTCAAACAACCTTTTCAACCTTTTTTCTAACCACAAAGGTTGGTCTTTCTTCATTCATACCTTTCCTGGATGGACGCACTGAATCTTTGTCTTCACATTGTAGAAGCTAGTAATGGCTGTCTCCACCTCATCCAGCTATAAAAAAATAAATAAATACATTTACTCACAGCTGACCATAATCACAAGATTCTTGTTTACTTCAGCTCAAAAATAGAGAAGTTGAAAAAACGCAACTAAAGATTGCAAAACGTCAGGCTATGAGTGTTGAAATGCTGATGTTGCGGCTGGGCAACAATAACGCACACAGAGGTTTAGGAAAATTCTTTGGGGCCTCTTATTTGATGGATGATACTTTTGGGAAATTTTTTACCTGGCCGTTATTTCAATTATATCATTCACGTAATCACAAGTTGTGGAATCACAGACAGGAACAGAAAACAGCAGGCTGAACCATTACAGTAAACAACTTTAACGCAACCCATGCAGCTGAATTATTTAAATATATAAAAAATATACATATATATACAAATCGATCACAGACTATACGTGCTCTACCTCTCAGGTCAAAGGTCAAAGAAAAATATTTACTTCATCTTCAAAGGACCACATATAGTTCAGTGTCTCTTAAATGATAATTACAGCAGCGAAGGGAATTAAAGTACTTACTGTGTAGTGCTGCTCAGAGGGCACGATTCTGTTGTTCTTTAAAACACTGAAAACACAAAAGACTCATGAGGAAACCAGTGTCAACTAGTGCTGGGTGGTATGATGCTATTGGTTAACACATTTATGTGAGATAGCAGAAATATGTTAAACGGTAGTGTTTATATAACTACGCAGCCATTATGGGCTGGACTGCTTTACTTGGGACGTGTCCCAAACTTGTTATTAAGACATGTAATATGAATCAATGTTTTAATTGTTTATGCTTGCCGAGCAGCATTGTTATTTGCTACATTAAAGGGATAGTTCATAATTTACTCTAGGACTGGCCTCGACTAAGGATTTTTCTGGTCGACTAGTAGTCGTTCATTTTAGCATTAGTCGACCAATCGCACGTTTATTAATAAACCATTTAAATCATTATAATGAGCCTTTAATTGCCTATAGCCTAATAAGCACTCAAGCACATGCATAAAGCTTGCCACAGCGCACCGGCAGAAGTAATGATTATGAATGTGTCAGGGAAAAACAGTAAGGCGACTGCATTAACATTTCAATAATTTCTAGATAAACTAGTGCTTTCTTTGTTTTCGTCTTAAGAGATGAAGTCGGAGACACTGACACTGACTCGTCATCTCCGCAGTAGTGGACGCACCTGTATGCATGTTTCATATGGATACATAATCTGAAAATATTAGTTTTTTTCAGATTCATTTGAAAGTAGACATTTCACTCTCTATAGATATAGTTTTAATGTCTGTAAGTCAAAGATATACATGGCGTTTTGCACTCAAGTTCACAGAGACCAAGACAGCAGAAAGCGCATCCTGTTTGCTTTCATTATTTTACAAAAGCGTAATGTTTTGTTGTTATTGTGAGTGCACACAAATAAACGTAGAGTCTTTACAGATTTGAAAGATGTATTACTCTGCTCTGTATGACCAAAAATGACAGAGTATTTTAAGAGCAAGTAAGTGCACCAGCGCCTCCATCTGTCCTGCAGTGAGCACGCTGCTGTTCAGCTTCCACACTCCACACAGACACTTCAACAGCGCATGTTTCTCTAGGTTAACATTAGATTGAGCGGCAATGTAAAGTTGCTACTACTTACATATTTCAGATGATAATCCATATTTGAGGTTGATGAATGATAGTCGAGCATTTGGATGCACTGTATTAACACAAAGACCAGCCGCTAACGATCTGTCCGTCACGGACTGTGTGACTTCGCCTGTGGACTTTTTAAAATATATTTTTTTCTGCAACTAAGCAACTAATACAATTTTGGTCGACCAAGCCTCTTCTGGTCGACTAACGATTAGTCAACTATTAGGGAACAGCCCTAATTTACTCATCCTCATGTTGTTCCAAACCTTTATAACTTTCTTTCTTCTGTTGAACAGAAAGGAAAATATTTTGAAAAATGTTGGTGGCAGCCATTGACTTCTATTGTATGGGGGGAAAAATACTATGGAAGTCAATGGTTACCAGCATTCTTCAAAATATCTTCTTTTGTGTTCAACAGGACAAAGAAATTCATGCAGGATTGGAACAACTTGAGGATTAATAAATTATGACAAAAGTTTAATTTCTGGTTGAACTAACCCTTTAATATAGAATTTAAATTGAAGTGCGTCACAGTTGTGCATGTAAGTGCTATTTTACAAAAGCTCTGAGTGAGGCTTCAATCAGAATTTTGAGTCATAATTATCAGTTTTATAATATTAGTTACTTTTTAACTGAAGTGTTACATAATGTGTGTGTGTGTGATGAAAGAGTTGTCATTTATAAATACTCTCATCTTTTGCTTTGTATCCATCTCACAAATTCATAATGTACTGAAAGCCACAAAATCAGGTTGTATAAGAACTACTGAAAACAAGGACTTACTTAGTAAGGTTAAACTTGTGGTACAGCTCAAGAGCTTTGCTGAAGTATTTATGTTGACTGTTCAGAGACTCTGCTTTTGCAGCACAGGTTCCATGTTTTGTCCATTCATATTTCCTTAGCAAAAAAAACACACAATAAAAAGTCCATTATTTACTTTAATAAATAAATAAAAAGTACATTTGCAAGTTTTTAAACATACCAAAATTGGGGGGAGGAAGGTGCTCCCAGATCTGGCCAATATTTTTTCATCTCTGGTATTAAGTCCTGAAAAACATGCACACGTCAAGCACATGTCCACTGAACTAAATATATGACATTCAACAAGACGAGCAAGGCAAGTAAATTACTTCAATCAAACTGGCATTAAAGTGCCAGGATGTATTGCACCTCATGCCAGTGTTGGGCCTGCAACAACAACAAACATTGCTACTGACACAAACTATAATCATCCTTACAATCACTGGCATTTTTCATCATTATCCGATGGTTATTCAGATCACATGACAACCAGGGTTGCACCAATATAAACATATGGGGAAAATTTATTATGCATTCATTCGGCAGACCTTTTTATCCAAACATCATTTATCATAGGAGTCAACAATATTGCATGTCAAGTTTAAAGTTTAAGCTATATTAGTATAGTATAGTAGCTTTTTGGCTATAGGAAATGTATTTGTTTATGGTTGTGGATTAGTTAAGTGATTGCGGAACGTCTCCCTGAAGTCGTCGGCTTTAATTATTACTACAGGGCCCGTATTCACAAAACATTTTATCTTACCACTAAGAGTTCTCCTAAATAGCAGTAAAAGTTTTTATCAAAGAGTTTTCTCTTAAAACCTATTCACAAAGCTGCTGAGACAAACTTGTACTAAGGAATAGACAGAAGTCTTAAGCTAAGAGTAAGGGCGGGGTTGACCCTGTTGCTATGGATACTGTCAGCAGTAGGGCTGCATGATAAATCGAAATGGATTCGAGATCGCGATTCGACAGAAGCTGTGATTGTCATGCGTATCTTTCAGTGAAGCACAGTTCTGTGATCAACAGTAAATCTCCATCCAAAGGCCAGAGGGCGCTCTCGCGCTGAAACTCCAAATACGCCTCGCAGAAGAAACCCAGAAAATGCCTATCGCTGCAGCTGAATAAACAGAAGATTCAACTGCTTTCATTGATTCAACGTGACTAATAAACACACGACTACGGCAATATACGGGTTATCTGAGTTCTTATTATTATAATTTTCATTAAAATAAAGTATATTTATAATGCAATGCCTTTATCACTGCTTAAATACTATGAAATATGTTGCGTGCCTTATTCTGTGTAAGAAGCCACATCATCTCACAGAAGGATTTATTTCAAACACTCGACTGACATTATGAAGTGAGTTTGGAGTAAAAATATGTTATTAAATGTGGTATTTTCACATGCTTTCAGATGGAGCAGCATTTACTACACAGAGCCGTAGTTCACTGAGAAGCTATGCAAACAGCTGTCATTATCGCGAACGATTTCTTCGATTTCAGAATCTTTTTTTTTTTTTTTTGCGTAACTTGTCAGTGAACTACTGCTGTGTGTAATAAATTCTGCTCCATCTGAAAGCACGTGATGATGATTTCCTGCTGAATACAGAACCGGCTTTTTTAACAAAATGTGCATGACAATTGCATTCGATTAATCGCGCAGCCCTAGTCAGCATACTTACTAACTATGCACACAGTGATTGGCTGATAGTCTCTGTCAGAGATTTATTCATAGAAATATTGTAGAGTGCAATATGATGTTGCCATATTCAAATAAAAGTTTTAAAATAAAAATGTTAATTGTCACATTCAAATAAAGATTTTAAAATGCAGACTAAGTGTCACTAATTAAACAAGTAGGCTATATATTCATCTAATTGTCAGCCTCTTATGCTTCTCGTAAACAATTAGTCAATATGCATTAGGGCTGCCCCTCGACTAAAGATTTTTCTGGTCGACTAATAGTCATTCATTTTAAGCATTAGTCGACTATTAGTCGCACTTTTATTAATAAACCATATAAATCATAATAATGAGCCTTTAATTGCCTACATAGCTTAATAAACGCTCAAGCGCACGCAAAAATGGCTTGCCACAGCGCACCGGCAAATATAGTAATTATGAATGTGTTCGGGGAAAACAGCAAGTAGGCTACACTGCAGTAACCTTTTAATAATTTATTGTTACACTTGTGCTTTCTGTTTTCAGTTTAAGAGATGAAGTCGGCGACACGGACTCGTCATCTCCGCAGTACGTGCCTGCAGGTTTCATACGGATTACATAATCTGAGAATATTTGTTTTCTATTTGAATTGGTTCATTTAAAAGTTACACTCTCTATAGATATATTTTTGATGTCTGTAATAAGGCAAGCATACACGGAGTTTCGAAGTGATGCGCTCAAGTTCACAGAGATCGAGACGGCAGAAAGCGCATTCTGTTTGCTTTCATTATTTAACAAAAGCACAACGTTTCGTTGTTATTCTGAATGCACACAAATAAACATAGAGTCTTTACAGATACAAAAGATGCATTACTCTTATCTGTATGACCAAAAACGACGAAGTATTTTAAGAGCCAATGATCGCACCGGCGCCTCCATCTGTCATGCAGTAGCCCTGTTCAGCTTCACACTCCGCACAAACACGTGAACTGCGCACTTTTTTCTAGGCTAACATTAGATTGAGCTGCCATGTAAAGTTGCTACTACATACATATTTCAGATGATAAGCCATATTTGAGGTCGATGAATGTTAGGAGAGCATATGGATGCCCTGCCTGATGTACTGCATTACCACAAAGACCAGCCGTTAACGATTGGTCCGTCACGGACTGCATGCATGATTTCGCCACTTCATGTGGATTTTTTTTTCTGCGACTAATAAAATTTAGGTAATATGCATATAAACAGCCTTTTAATTAGCAGAGTAGAATAATCATGGCTGATAGTAAGACATGCAAACATAAAAGAAAACCAAACTGGACGCGAGAATATTAAGGATATAGGCTAATCAAAAATTTGGCGTTGGGATAACCTCCTAACAAAGCCGATTCCTTTTTAAAAGTTCATTATCGTCAAATGTTTCTAAAATGTTTATATTCTGAGGTAGATTGCTGGCAACAGCCATTTTAGGATAGTTCAGATTTGGTCTTAGTGACTTAGGAGTCCTCTTCACTAATCCTAACGTTTCACAGATTTAGGAGCTATTTTAGTGCTAAAACGCTTTGTGAAATACTCTTAGAATAAATATTTTGGAGTCCTAAATTTAGGACTGACACACACATAATTTTTTAAGATTTTCTCCTAAATCGGCAAGTTATGAGCTACTTTTAGCCTTAAGATGTTTTGTGAATACGGGCCCTGATGTGTAGCATTAAATTAGATCCGTGCAGTACAGTATGACTTACTATGTAGGCTGTCTGTCTTATTAATGTTAATCACAAGATAAAAGATTGCTGCTCTTGATTGAATTGCTTCTGTAGTTTTAATAATCAATTTATTTGTAGTGAACACACTGAAGTGATTTTTACATTTGATTATTTTTCTTTAATTGAATGCTTTTGTTTAGATGCACTAGGCCAATTTGTTTCTTTCTTATATTTGTTCTACTGTTGTTGTTTTGCATCTGTTTTTATTTTTAAGAACAAAGATAAAATAAAAATATTTATATTGTGATTTTTAATATAGTAATTAATATTAAGAAACGAAGTGGAGGAAACAATGCAATGTTGCTAGGTGATTTTGCTTTGGAACCTTCAGAAAACTTCAACTTGAGTTTTCTCAGAACTGACTTTGCTGACTTCGTCGACTTCAAATGGGTATAGTTCAGAATGTAACCATTTTAGGATAGTTCAGATTTGGTCTTAGTGACTTAGGAGTCCTCTTCACTAATCCTAACGTTTCACAGATTTAGGAGCTATTTTAGTGCTAAAACGCTTTGTGAAATACTCTTAGAATAAATATTTTGGAGTCCTAAATTTAGGACTGACACACACATAATTTTTTAAGATTTTCTCCTAAATCGGCAAGTTATGAGCTACTTTTAGCCTTAAGATGTTTTGTGAATACCGGCCCAGATATTTAGCCAATATGATGGCTGATATTACAAATCTATACTCTTTAATCAGTTTTTTCCCCCTTCTTTTTAATTCAGTATGCATTGCAATAAAACAATTTTACTATAAAGTCACTGTTCATAACCTACCATAATCCATGCAGAGTCCAAAAGCTTAAGTTTGTTGTACATTTTTCCACCTATAAATGAAAAACAACATAATTTATCTCCTGATACCCAGTAGAGGAGCAATATGTGGTGCACCTGCGGTAATGGCAATAAAACAATGGAAAGTAAATGCAATACAATACACTGCAAAATGTCTGTGGCCAATGCTGGGTCAGGATGAGTTTTGTCCATTCTCCCCTAAAAGAAGCAGTCGATTCACTATTTGTGACTTCAGGGTGACAATTGCAATCTGACAAACATTTTGCACAAAACATGGAATCTAAAAACGGCTTCATTTGTATGTGCCTATGCAGAAAATGTGGCCACAGTAGCAAATGTGTATTAAAATTGGGCATGCAAATAGTTGAAGATCATTAACCAAATTATTTTAGCTGCAATGCACCAAATTCTCATTTTGTGATTTCTATTATTCTGAATAGTATTTATCAATAGATTTAGATTTTCATTATCGTACTTTTTATTGGTTTACAGTAATGAATACTGTGACAATGTTTATTAGTGGTTGTATTATTTAAATGTCATAAATCAAATCAAATTATTTAAAACAGTACAACAAGTACTACCATAATGTTTAAAATAAAATAATAATTATTATTACAGTCATAATGTCGTTCTGTGTGGAGAGGTGCTGATATTGCATTTGGTCTCGTTCTGTATCGCGTATCTTGTCAGTGTCTGCGCTTGCTTGGCCATGTGTTGTGGAGAAAATAAGGAAAGGGTGTTCAAGTGCCAGCAGAAAAGAGTGTAAAGAAATAGTCTTTGAGAGAAGCAGTCTTTATGAGCGGAAGTTAAAAGCAGCTCGTAAATGTATTTAATTGTCTCATTAGTGTTTAGTGCAGTTGTCGTTGTTAGGAAACACTTGTTTTGTTTACTGTGTGGAGACGTGCTGATATTGCATTTGGTCTCGTTCTGTATCGCGTATCTTGTCAGTGTCTGCGCTTGCTTGGCCATGTGTTGTGGAGAAAATAAGGAAAGTGTGTTCAAGTGCCAGCAGAAAAGAGTGTAAAGAAATAGTCTTTGAGAGAAGCAGTCTTTATGAGCGGAAGTTAAAAGCAGCTCGTAAATGTATTTAATTGTCTCATTAGTGTTTAGTGCAGTTGTCGTTGTTAGGAAACACTTGTTTTGTTTACTGTGTGGAGACGTGCTGATATTGCATTTGGTCTCGTTCTGTATCGCGTATCTTGTCAGTGTCTGCGCTTGCTTGGCCATTTGTTGCGGAGAAAATAAGTAAAGTGTGTCCAGCTGAATTAATGTAGTATTTTGTTAGACGAGTATAAAAAGCTTAGTTTACTGTGACAGCGGTCGCGGCAGCCATCGCGTGAAGGCCTCCTCGTGTGAAGACCGAAGAGTGTAAAGACCATCGACTCTACCGTGCGAATCCACCGGGCAGGGACACCGGCAAAGTATAAGTATCGCTTTTTATTTCTCCTCTTTCCTACTACTTGTTTCGCTTCTGTTTCAGTTTTTATAACCATTTCTTACTATGTGTCAGTAAGTTGTTGTTTTTTTAGCATGTGTGTTTGGCAGTGTTATTTTTTAGGATTACTGATAAACTACTGTCATTTGATTTGTATTATTTGTATTTGTTATTTATTTTAATTTTAGTTACATTATGTCTGAATTTATTATGTCTGTATAGGTCTTTTATTAAGTTTTTTGTTTGATATAATTTTAGTTATTTTAATACTTCAACAAACTAAATGGAAATGAAATAATATATATATTGAATTTATAAATGTGTATGTATATATGTATGTGTGTGTGGTTGTACATACACATATATGTAGTTGTTTTTTTAGTGTTTGGCTTAGTGTTATGTTAGAATCATTATTATACTCATACCTTTTGTTCTTTAATATTTTGAATTGTTCTTAACTTTATTTTTTTGTTTTTCATTTAAATGTTTTGAAATTTTGTTGTATGCATTTGTCACTTTTATTTAATCTCTTTATTTTTAAAATCTGTATAGGTAGTATTTATAAAGTTTTCGCTTTTAGTTTAGGATCTGTTTTAATTGTTTTAATACTGCAATTGATTTGCTTCTGTTGTCCTCATTTGTAAGTCGCTTTGGATAAAAGCGTCTAATAAATGTCTAAATAAAATAAAATAAATAATGTTGTGCAAATATTTCACATGCAATCCGCAAACATGTTTTTAGAACATTTCCTCAAAAAAGTACTGGGAAAGAACAATGATTTTCATGACATTTGTGTCAGCATGACTAGTGTAGACAAGATTCCTAACTCATGAGCCGTTTTTTTTCTAGTTGAACAAAAATACCTGAATTAATCAGGAATTGTACCAAGAACGGTTAGTGTGTTCTGTTATCATTGCTGTAAAAAGTCATTAAAAAAGTCTGCATATGTATAAATTGTTTACCCTTTCAAACGTCTTGTATTGTATATAATGTTTACTCTGTAACCAGTGTTGGGGGTAACTCATTACAAGTAACGCGAGTTACGTAATCAGATTACTTTTTTCAAGTAACTAGTAAAGTAACGCATTACTTTTTAATTTACAAGAGAATATCTGAGTTACTTTTTCAAATAAGTAACGCAAGTTACTTTTTTTCAATTTATTGACTGACAGCTCTCCTGTCCCCATGTTGAGAGAAATCAGAAGATGTTACTGTAGTTCTAAAATAAATATGAATATGCATTAATTCATCTCACTCACAAAAAAAAAACAGATTCAGAATTCCTCAAAATGAATAAAAATAATGCAACTCAGAATATGACGCAAACCTGCAAGAATTAAATGTTAAACAGCACAAATATCCTTTATGTATTTAATCCCATTCTATTAACCAATGTCTTTGCTTCTGATCTTCGATGATCCAGTTCAACCGTACTAATAAGCACAAATTACTCTAGACAAACATCTGTGCGTCTTTTTTTTTATTGCTGAAGTGTGTTGAAATGTCTTCTTCTGCATTCTACTGTACGGACTTAAATTTACTTTCCCTTCAGCCTGAGGCTTATTCATTTCACTTTTGGTGTGAAAAGGCTTTTATATTCGCCAAAAATAGAACTTTTTTATTTTAAAAACAAACAAGCAAGCTCTGTCCAGATTTAAAATGTAACACAAAAGTAACGTAACGCACGACTTTCCATAAAAAGTAACTAAGTAACGTAATTAGTTACTTTTTTATGGAGTAACCCAATATTGTAATGCATTACTTTTAAAAGTAACTTTCCCCAACACTGAGAGTAGATGTCTGCATGAATAAATTATAAACATGTATTTATACTTATAATGTGGTCTGAAGATGTTTGTATTAAGCAAACTTCAAATTTTTTCATGGCCATATCTGTAATGGGAAAAAAAAATTAGGTGTGGTTTGATTTCAACTGCCAATTTTCATCCTGCACACAATAATTTAAGTGATTTAGTTTTATTAACAAAACAAATCGTTCTGGATGTTGAACAGCCTTTCCAAGAATTTCACAATAATTTTTAAGGCTCAGCCAGTTTATAGGCTGTACAAGGAAATAAACCTAAAGTGTATCTTGATCAATAAAGAAGGGAAAATACAAACAGGATTTGTACAATATTGATTGTCCGACTGCACCCAAACTTAAATTTTTATCAATAGCCTATGCACAAATATATTTATCTAAATGTATTTGCGTGACATTCCGAGGATGGGCAAAGGCTGTTGGCCAGAAAAATCCAGCACAAAGTATGACAGCAACTGCAATGAATCTCATTCTTCCAGATGGTGCAAGTCCGTTCATCTTACAGAGGACAAAAGATAATTTATTATTAACGTACACTGTAAAAAGAAGAAAGAAAAAAACTTCTATAAGACAAAGTCATAGCATAGAGCATATCAAAGTTGCGACCAAAAGTAACATATTCAAATGTGAGATAGATACTGTAGATAAATAAATAAACAAGTTAAATAAATAAAACCTTGAACAAACTTACGTTAAGACGTCAGTTACCTGTTATTGTCTGAAATGAAGCCTGTTCAAATTACAACATTTTTACGTCTTACTGATATGAGAGAGCACTAGTTTTAAACGTTTTTATTTAGTAAGTCATTTGAAGGCCCATTGTGTCACAATTCGAACGCGACTTCAAATGCGTCCTCCGTTTCTCCGGCAAAAGAAGGATACATCAGATGGATCCTTCACAGCCTACCCTATCCCAGAATTCATAGCGCGCCGGGGGCGACGGGACTTTTATTCAAACAAAATAGTGGGTGATGGTTCTGTGGCTGCCAACGAATACACTTATAAATGTAAGTATTCTGTTTTAATTTGCTCAAATAGCTAGCAAAACAAATGTTAAAAGTCAGGGGTCTTAAAAATGTGAACAGATTCATTTGTTAGGTGGTCTGAGGCAAAATAACTTGTATTTATTCAATTAGAGGGCTGAATTTGATCATTCCTGTACTTGGGACAACAACTCTGCCATTGTGGCTCGGAGGTAAGGCATTACCCATCTGTAATATTTCCACTGGACCTCTTGTGTTCACAACAACTAGCCCTCACCCATATATAAAGCCCACAACAACAAGACAAGTATGCCAATAAGGCTACTTAATAAGTAGACAAGTCTTTACCTTGTATTTTTATTTTATTTTATTTCATTTTTTTATTTTGTATGCACGTCCTGCTGTCATATTTTCTAACCTTACGATTGCAGCCCTGTCTTAATAATTTTGTTTCCTTTTTCCTCTTCTTTTAGGACAGTTTTTGAGAAAATGGTGCTTCTGGGAAACTTAAAAATGAAATGAATGAAGTTGTTTATTACTTTTGTAATTTAAGTTATTTGTAAATGAAGCAAAGTCATTTCTGTGTATTGTTTTAGTTGAAACTTGTAAATAAAAGACAAGAAGTAGCTCAGGAAATTGTTAATTTTTGCAAAGCCAGAAATATTTTGTTGTACAGCAACAAATATGCCTCCTAAAGTCTCTAATGACAAATTGTATTAATAATTAATGACATAAATTGCAGTTGATCACATGACTTGACAGCGCACGCGCAGTTGCGACGTCACGAGGTAAACACGATCAATGCACAGAAGCCTGTGAATGACACAGTATAATTTGTAAATGACAGAAATTCTTCTATAAATTTTTTTTGCCTCTGAATAACATTTGCAAATGAAAATAAATTGTTCTATACTAAAAGTACCTTTTACAACTAATTACAAAATAACTTCAATTCAACATTAGAAAAACAACATCAAAATGTAACAATACATTAAAAAGATTGGAAAAAGAAAAAAATGCATTTGTATGTACGCTTTCATTAAGCTGAGCAGTGAGACCCTGGTGGAGCTGCTGGACCTGGACGGGCTGCCATAGAAAGCCTGGTGTGGCATCATCTGGGATAGTCTCCAGAGTGTTTGAGTGCATATTTCCACTGTCCAGCAGTGAGGTTAATTGTGTAGAGCTATGAAAAAGTAATTGGTGGAAGAAATATGAGTTACTTTAGTAAAGTACTTTCAGTAACTACTATTAGCACATTGATGAAAAAAATGCATGCATTTAAAACCTTAAGTTAAAGTATTATCCTTCATACTGTAATGTACTTAAGGTATGAAGAGTAAAAGTAGCCTATGTATTCTGCAGAAACAACTATATATGATGGTCTTGCATTAATATTACTGCTGCACTACAGTGCACTCTAATGTTGCATTTTACTTCTGAATATGTTCAAGGTTGTTACATTTAAAATACTTTATATAGGCCTACTGTTGGGCAGTTTAATGTACAACAGTTGTAAGTTGTAAAAAGGACCATGTTTTTGTATTGTAGCTGTCCTATGAGAAAAAATATAATTTGTATGTGAATACTTATGGAATGTATTTCGTTACACTCCACCACTTTGTTATTTTGGAGATGAAACGAACAAAGTTTATTGCTAAGTTGCTACAACTGCGAACCATATCCAGGCTGCTTCCGAAGCACTCGGACCGGTGTAGCCTACGGAGGACTCTTCTTGTTGCCTAGCAACTTTGTCAGCTGCCGTAAACGAGCGGCAGTAACATTTGTAAGTGAACTTTTTATATTCAGCTGCATAAAACTAAACAGGTTGAAAACCTGTTTAAATATGTTCACCATGGTCCATGATGGAAGGACCCGTCCTCCGAAGGATGCGGTCTTTGAATTGGGACACAGCTACACTGTAGGCTTCTGTGCATTGATCGTGTTTACCTCGTGACGTCGCAACTGCGCGTGCGCTGTCAAGTCATGTGATCAACTGCAATTTATGTCATTAATTATTAATACAATTTGTCATTAGAGACTTTAGGAGTACAGTGTATGAAAACAGTGCCATTAAACTTTTCTGCACTGTGGAGGGATATCCCACCCCACATGTCAAATGGTGAGATGCTTCCTGTTCGCTAGGGTTCAGTGCAGTTGCTTTCAAATCTCCTCTGGTGTTATACAGTTTCACTTTAACATTTCATAATATTTCATCATGTATAGAGAAACTCCAAGAGGATCTATTGTTATTATATCATAAATATTCTACAGGTTCAAGGATGATGTCATCTTGGAAATTTCTTCTGGAAAGTACTTTGTGGAGAGCAATGCTGGATTCCATGCCCTCTCCATCCTCAAGTAATCTGAACTTTTCTGTGTGATTTTTTGACTTTTTTAATGTGGTTTATGTGTTAATAATCCCAAAATATTCTTCATTTTATGCATTAATGCATTTTCTTACAATATTTTGAGGTGCAGTGAATCCCCAAAGGACAAGCTCTTGATAGGTTTCATGTGGTTCACCCTCTAAAACACAATAAAATGTAACTAACAAGTGAATTTCCACAAAAGGAAGTCACGTCACTGGGATTGCATGTGAACTTTTCCAATTTAGTCCAGGGCCGGTCGGTGCGCCGCCCACGTCTTGAGCTCCTGTCAGCTGTTAATGCCAGAGTGCTGAGTTTGGTGTCATCTGACACTCTGGCGCCTTACAGAGAGATGACTTTCACTGCTGTCACCCTGTCAGTCCCACAAAAACTCACCCTGGCCCTTATGTCACATTCCTGACGGCTTCTTGCATTCAGTGCCCAAACCTCACAGGTGAAGCTTGGCGTTCCACATTTCATCTAAAATGGCCAAACCTTTCACTTTTTGACACACAGCCATTCTTCTCAAGACCGCAGGGGCCAGGGCTCTAATATAGTACGGTCACTCTGAAGGTCACATTACAGTCTTCTCATTTTCTTGTCCTTTGCGTCTCGTGTTTGCTATTCAAGCCTCAGAGCCTCCCGTGTTGAACACGTTCCGAAAACAGGCACTGGTCGACATTAGCATTTCGTTTGGCGCAATTATCCTCTTGACATTAGAGCATTAGTTAACTGCCAATTTATCCATCACTATGGGGGAAGCACTTTATGTGCTTTCCAAAAGTCAATTAGGAAATGACTGTGGCATATATCCAGTCAAACAGCAATCATGCTGATTATTTATTGACTGATTAATTAGTGGAGTGGGTGAAGCGGTGTTGCGATCCAGCCGTGTATTGATTGAAGTTGTAGACACCTGTGAATGAGTTATGTGTGCTTTTGTAGGTGTGCAACTGATGACACTGCGATGTATACGGCTGTAGCCTCAAACACTCATGGACAGGCCTCCACCCAGGCCTCCATCATTGTGAAGAGTAAGACTTTTTCGCCTGTTTTCTGGAATCTAAGCATATCGAAGCGAGAACAACATTTAGACTATGAATCCTTTCTTTACAAAGTCACTATATACTTTCTTTTTGTGTCGACTTCATAGGGTGCAAAGAGGAAGAAACGTCAACTCCTTATTCCTGGATGCCTTACCAGTGTAAGTGTGAAGGCCTCTATTCATTAGAATATCTGGTATGATTTAAAAACAAGTCATGAAAGACAGGAACTGTTTTTCTGTTTCTCAGATGCCATTTTACCTGAGATCAAGTATACGAAGATTAACATCACCTTCACTGAGACGTTTGACGTGACCTTTGGAAAAGAAGGCGATAAGACCACTTTGACCTGCAAGATGACTATTAACCCCAACCTGGCTAACCTGCAGCCTGAGGCGATGTGGTACAGAGATGGTAGGAAGTGTCCAACAAAGGCTAACACAGAAATGTTTTTGTATGCATGCGCGGTTATTGTTAATAAAGGACACAGGACACTGGACTGCAAAGGTCGTGATATGACTTCACGCTCTGCAGCATCTTTTTAAAAACCTAAGTTCAACAAATAACCAACAATAATACATTTATGTTCTTTTAATTCAGCTACGAGGTCATGCTGTGACATATCGATCTTCTATTGGTCACACGGTTTCACATGATATGAATTTACAGGTCGCAGTTCACCATCAACTTGAATTTTGGAATGCAGAGAAATGCGAATCATCTTCACATCTTGTATGTGTGAATGAAAGTCAAAGGGATGAAAAGTGTAGTGTGACCAGCCCCTAAGAATTCATTGATTACATATAACTACAAGATCTACAGTAGCTGCTGAATATGAAATAAACAGTAATTTTTTGCACCAAAAAGAATAGGGAAAAAAGGACTGTTTTCAATCCCACATTATCTGTTGATTAGCCAACAAACGTCCCGCCCCAAATGCATATTATTGCTTAAGCTAGTGTTTTATGACGGCTGCTCAAACAAACAGATTGCAATTCCGTTTTATGCTGCTAATGACGCAGAAATTATGCATTTTGCCTATATGCAGCAATGTAAATACTGCAATTAATTAAAAATGTTTTTCATTTAGCCATTAGAGTAGTTTCACGTTCATTCATTGTCTTGGGACACTACTCTTATTTAATGATTTGTATCTGTCATCACTCAAAATTTAATGGAAGTTCACAAAAGTGGAATTTTTTAATGTATTAAAATATTTTAATTAGTGCTGGGCAACAAATAATCATGATTGATCACAGTTTTTGTTTACATAATATATGTGTGTGTACTGTGTATATTTATTATGTATATATAAAGACACTCACATACAATATATATTTTTAAAATATTTACATGCATATATTTATATTATATATACATATATAAACACAACATGTTTTTCTTAAATATATACATGCATGTGTATGTATATATATATATATATATATATACATAATAAATATACAGAGTACACACACATATATTATGTACACAAAAACGTTTATTTTGGATGTTATTAATCGCGATTAATCGTTGCCCATCACTAATTTTAATCAAATATATTTAGGAAATTATTGCTATTTATTGTTATATTAATATTTGTTCTACACTTTTAGTGTATTTTACATCTACAAATGCATAAATAATTATTTTTATATTAAATTATGAATTTATTTTGATCTAAATACTGTATTTCATACACAGTAACTGTCCTAATGACAGCTGCATTTATTTATTGTGGCATTCACCCCTGGTCATATATTAATTTTCTGGTTGTTCTGTAGGGGATTGTGTTGCAGTCGAGTCGTGTACAGAACAAAATGACTTTTTATGTCCATTTGTAGTTTATGTCTCATTTCACTCCAATCTCATTTCCAGAATCATCAGATTACACTTTCCATATCTGCAGTCTATTCTGCAAAATAAATAGTTTCATTTTCTCTCCTCTGATACCCCATGTTGTGTTTTGGGCCCTCCAGAGCACCTCCTGAAAGAGTCGAGGTGGGTGAAAATGGAGTCTGGCGGAGGTGTTGCCAAGCTCATGCTTACTCAGCTCGCTAAGGATGATGAGGGTCTTTACACCCTCTGCATGGTTACCAAGGGTGGCGATGCGGTCCACAGGGCTTACGTCTTCGTTGATGGTAAAGAGTTATGAACTTCTCCAAGGCTTGTGATTCTTTTGCTGGCCTTTAAAGGTCTGGATTAGCATAATTCATCTCATATAGCGCATACATCTGTTTCGGAGTGATTCCCTGAGCGAATCAGTGGTGTGTAGGAGTCATCATGTTTTGTCTTGGCAGATGGTCCACCTCCAGTTCCTCAAGCTCCCGGAGCCCCAATGGACATTAAGATCCATGATGCAAATAGAGATTATGTCATTGTGTCCTGGAAACCTCCTAACACCACCACTGAAGGCCCCATCGTTGGATACTTTGTTGACAGGTGACTGCGCTGACTAAGGGGTCTTCCCAGTGGGAGTTATTTTATGGAATACATTTATGCAAGTTGTTTGATACAGTGGCCTCAAAAAGTATTTGGACACTTTAAAATGTCATTGCATTAGAATGTCAAATATCTGCTTGACTGTTTGCTGGAATTCACATTTCTGAGCCAGTTTTTCAGTAGCTTTTAATTAACTGGTTTGTCACAATACTTTTTTGAACTGCACAATAGGAATTCACTATGTAAATGAAACTTGCACTAGCTTAGCGTCCGGTGTTTCATTGTAGAATCGTTCATCTTATCCACATACCACCTGCAATCCATTTTAATCAGGTGCTAAATGCGCTACAACAACCTGCTGAGAGTATTTAAGTAAAGTCACCATTAGTCTTTTAATTGCAAATAGGCCTTCTTTCTAGAATCTACCTGATTGACAAATGTTATCATAATGTGCCCGATGCAATTAACTAGCCACCCACAGAAACTAGTCAGTAAATTGAAAGGGATGTTGGATGTTGAAATATTGGGCTCTATTTTTTTCTATTTCCCAGGATGAGTTGTTGTAACATCACCAGTAAATTACTGGTTTTGAAATTGCTGTTTATAGTAAGGGCCGGTTGACATAGAACATATGTTTGATCGGCCCCACCTATATTTGCCTTGTCGCAAATTTAGGGCCTAGGAAATCCATTAAATTTTTTTCCCAAATTCTGTTTTTTCCATTTTTATTTTTCTGGATTCCATTTTTTCCCGATTTAATTTTTCTAGACTCTGTTTTAATAGTTAAATAAAATTGTATTCATCAAAAACAAAAAGTTTAATTAATTGAAATTATGAAACTTAAAATATTCAATTCATTAAAAGTTCAAAGGGGGTCATATGATGTTGCTAAAAATAACATTATATTGTGTATTTGGTGTAATGAAATGTGTTTATGTGGTTTAAGGTTTAAAAAACACATTATTTTCCACATACTGTACATTATTGTTTCTCCTTTATGCCCCGCCTTTCTGAAACCTGTCGATTTTTACAAAGCTCATCGGTCTAAAATGTGAGGTGTGCTCTGATTGGCCAGCTATCCAGTGCGTTGTGATTTGCTGAATACCTCAAGCGTATGACGGAAAATGTTATGCCCTTTCCATATTGTGATGCCATGTCCCGGCCGGAGCGACGAGACAAAAACATTAAAACCCATTATAAATGAGGCATTTGCTGCATCCAGTGGGGACATAATTACGGATTATAATGACTTATACTGTCTTTTTACGCGTTGCATTGCATTGCGCCGCGTAAACATAAAACCATGTCTGCATTTGTGATCAGAGAAACGACAAACAACAAGCGCTACTCTACACTGCTCAAAACTCACGCTTGAATCATCAGTGGCAAATCCTTTAAATATGAAAACGTACTTACAATCTGTGAGTCAGAACAGCCGCCACTGTAGGCTACTCTACCAGGATCAGGAAACGGTCCTCCATAAAATGCGTTGCACATATCTGAATATTTGGGTTGAACTGTTCCGGAACAGTGTTGTAAATACAATTTAACCACTGATTTCTAGTTGTGTCCTCATTTGGAAGGCCAAACAAAGTATTTTCGCTTTTGCAACGAAACACACAGCATCTTCACAACATGGCGGTGGTGGTGGCAGCAACAATAAAGTTACGCCTTCTTTCTTTGCGTGAACATTTGGGCGGTGTTATGCAAATCTTCCCACATCGTGACGTAGACATGTGGGGGCATGTTTAAACAAGGCGTTTTAGGGGGGCGTGGACCAGTCTTAACTTTCATAAAGAATATCTCTTTGGGTTTGAGACTTTAGTCTTTGCAACTTTAGGGATCTTATCTATTCACGAACAGCCTGTAACACTCCAAAGAGAAAGGAAAACTTGAAATCACATCATATGACCCCTTTAACAAAAATTACATTTTTAAGGCGCTAATTTTTTTTTATTCAGTTTTATTTTTACAAAAAAATGTGTTGTCCATTTGTTTTCTCAATTCCATTTGAATGGTTTCATTAAATTTAATAATCAAAAGCATCTCTAATTAATTGATTTTATAAAAAAAATATATATATTATTTTATTCATTAGTTTTTGTTTTTTTTTCCAGAAATAAGGTGTTGTGTATTTACATTTTTCTGCTAGATATACTCTGGTAAATATTCCTTTAAAAATAATGTTTTAATCATGATTTTATTATTAGTGGTAGTACTATCTTTACATTAAGTAAAATTTCTGTCATCGTTTCTTCAAGTTAAACTCAAACTTTTATTTTGACGGGTTGTAGTAAACGAAACCGTGCGTTTGCGCCATTCATTCACAGAGACATGCAGAACATGCAGGATTCATATTTAAATGGTGTTTTTGCAGCTTAATATTCACAGACACTTGTCCATATCGTGTTTTGATTTAGGTGTACTGACCTACTTTTGATGTATACATCCAAAATGTGTCAGTCAATGTCCAAGTGTGCTTGTGCTATGATTCTTTAAAATAAATTCAACTTTTGATGACAAAGACAACATGTGCACAATGTCTTTCAGTTTTAACTGCGCTTTAAGTGTTATATTTAAGTTGCTTAATTGTAGGTTCTCTGTAATACAAAAGACAGTTTGTTTTCCTTTCCGATATAGGCTACTTAGAAAATTGCTTACCAACAGATATTTTTGCCAGAAACATGCTTTGCATATGCTAATAGATGCGGTGATTATTTTGTTCCCTGTCACTTTGAGCTGCATTAGTATCGAGCTGAAATGTACTCTCGTCGGACGATAATCAGACTGTTAAGTGATACATGGATCTGCAATTACATATGAATGCTCCTTAGCTCATATCATCTCCTCGGAACGTAAAAGTGGGCTGTAATTTTCACTCTTTCACAGCAGCGTGGAACTAATGATAGGATAGTCTTGATTACTGTCCATATTCATTGTTGTTCATGTTTATTCTTTCACTCTTATTGGGCAGATGTGAAGTTGGAACAGAGAACTGGGTGCAGTGTAACGACTCGCCTGTAAAGATCTGCAAGTATCCTGTGCAGGGCCTGTTTGAGGGACACTCTTATTACTTTCGCGTGCGTGCCGTTAACTCTCGCGGCATTGGCAGACCCTCCAGAATGTCTGAGCCCATTGCCGCTCTGGACCCTACAGAGTTTGAGAGACTTCATGGTCAGCAAAACTAAGTCCTAATGAAGTTACATTTAGTAATCAACTCTGTACGTGTTAATAATGCCCTTTATGTGCTGCTGTTTGTTTCAACAGCCACAAAACTCGGTGGAAGACTTGACGTTGTGACTTACTATGATGACCTTGAAGGTAACCATGGAAATTTATGAAATCTTTAAAAAATAATGGAAAAGACATGGACATGTCTATAATAATAATTAAAAAAGGGCAAGTTATGGCAAGTTCTAAAATATTTCATAGTTCACATATTTCATGTATAAATCACTTTTTGTTGGTGCAGTCTCTATAAAATTGTATATATTTTTGAAAGATATTATTTAATTGCATGATCACATGATCATTAATGGCTACTATATTATAGTGACCATTTCATGTATACGGCTTCGGCCCAGTTGCTCTCTATTGTTGGACAATCCAACGGAGATGTTCCTGTCCTTCAGTGACCTTCAAGAACTCAAAAGTGATCTGTAAATCACTTTAACTGCATCCTTAAATATTGTGGGGTGGAGCTGCCTTAAAATATTCTTCCTTTTGTCACTCAGTCAAGTTTGTGTGTCTTTGAATTTGTGTTATGTATTAGATGACAGCAGCTGTCACTTAGTACTTTTCCCCCCTTTTTGCTTTCAAAATTAGCAATAATTATCTAGCCCATAATTGGTTCTCTTCTGAGAGGTACTGATTAGTTTTTGATGAGGATTCCATCAGGAAGGGAACGTACAAACATCTGTGGTTCTTTTTCAAGTTGAAATGAACACATCAACCAGTGTCACCCATGTGCATGCATATGTGTATGTGTGTGTATATTTATAGCAGCGGTGGCAAAGATGATATTCGATAATATTAATGTTGCTTTTAAAGCTAGTAAAATTGCTAGGAAATGTCCTAGTGTGTGTGTGTGTGTGTGTGTGTATTGGTGTGTATATGTGTTCAGAGTAGAAACAGTAATTCTGTTTGATGTGCTTTGCCTGCAGCCGAGGGAAAAGCTCCGGGACCTCCCTCTAAAGTCTGTGCTTCAGAGACGGACCGAACATATGTTGTGCTCAGTTGGGTCCCTCCAGTCTACCATAGCAAAGCCCCCATGTGGTATTACATTGAGAAGGTTAGTTTCAGCTCACTGCCAGACGTTAACCCAGCCGAATGGGTCACAAACTTTATTTCAGCAGTTTACTTTTCTTCTTATGTCACCTTTAATCCATTAAGAAGCACCTACGGTGTAAGAATATTTAATACTAATATTGATTACACTTTACTTGAAGGGGTGTGCATAAGACTGACATGACACCTTCATAATCATGACATGACACCTACATAATCATGACATGACACATGTCATGAATATGAAGGGTTTTTTATGCATGTTTATGACAACTGTCATTAAGTGTCATTCGCTCGGTTATGTAATTTTTAATGCAAAGATGACATTGTTTGAGATGTCTTTGTTATGGGCTATGGTTAGGGGTAAGGGTAAGGGTAGGGTTAGGTCAAATAATGTCATATTTGCATTAAAAATGACACAACTGAGCGAATGACACTTAATGACAGTTGTCATAAACATGCATAAAACCTCCTTCATATTCATGACATGTGTCATGTCACGATTATGAAGGTGTCATGTCAGTCTTATGCACACCCCTTCAAGTAAAGTGTTACCCTAATATTTTTAAATCAGTTTTTGTTTTACATTAAATGATGCAGCACAGCCCACAGGAACAATTTATTTCTCAGAAGTTAATCTTTCGTAGCTCACCTATAGATATTGACTGATATTGTTGTTTTAATTATATACTTTAAAACAATGTCCATTTTTTGTTTTTGTTGTTTTCCAGTAACTGATATCTAAGACCCATTTTTAATTTTAGTATTATTCCTGATTTGTGACAATAACTAAAAAATTACATTACAAGCATATTATTATTATTATTATTATTATTAATGTAATAATAATAGTCAGGCAAATTGTGTGCTGCACCTAAGGGTTGCAAATGTATTTTTGTCTTTGTTTAGGGCTGTCTAATTGTCTCAAATGCTACATGTTACATGTTTCCTGACTTTGAGTATGAATAGCTGTAAAAGGTTATGCAATTATGCAAACAAAGTTAATTTTCTGTCATTTTATTTAATCTGCTGTCCCAATATTAAATTAACGGAGTTCTCAGTTATTTCAGTTCTCAGTTGTCTCAGTTGTTCCTTCTAAAATTAAAATTAAAAACAAAAATAAATGTGTTGTGATTGCAGACTTTGGCATTGTGACAAATCCAATGTCAATCTTTGGCTCCATTTAATCTTTATTTAATTACTGTCTAGAAGAGACAACTGTTGTTGTTTTTTTATTGTGAGAGGTTAAAGTAATCATTAGCATTTCTCACACAATGCATATTTGTGTAATAGTGTGTTTTTATTCATTCTGGACTTTTATAGCTTCAAGTGGGAGCTGGATCCTGGCAGAGAGTGAACACTAAAGTACCCATCAGATCTCCTCGCTATGCCGTCTTCGACCTGCTAGAGGGAAAGGATTATCAGTTCCGTGTGGTGTCTGCTAACATGTACGGTGTCAGCGAGCCTTCCGAGCCCTCCAGTACTGTAACAACCCTGCAGTTGAAGGGTAAATGCCCTAAAAAAGCATGTCACAGAGGGCACAGTGCCTCTGATGTATTCACTTAAGATATTGACATGTTGAAATGCACATGAAATGGCATATAGATATTTGAAGTTTGCTCTGCCTTTGATGTTGTCATTAAGGCAGTAATGATTTTTTATCTGCCTTTCTGTAGTGGAACTAATTCATGCATGATAGGTCGTCAAGGGATTGATTGGACTGGTTGGTGAAATCACCCCTGAAATGAAGTTCTGTGTTCATTCAGGTGTGCCCTCGGCTCCTGGACAAGTCGTTGCAACCAGAGAGACAGAAACTTCTGTTCTAATCCAGTGGGCGCCTCCAAAGGATCCCAATAACCTGATTGGATATTACATTGATTCTTGTGTGAAAGGATCTAAGGACTGGACCTCTGCCAATCACAAGCCCCATAAGCAGACTAGGTATGTGCTTAGTCTAGGTGAAATGATTCACCAATAGGGTACGGAAGCATCTGAAACTCAGGTCTGAGATACTTTTGAAAATATTTTTAACATTTAATGAACTTTAAAATAAAATACAAATAAAGGGGTTGCCGATTTAACCTGTTGCCATCCTCCAAAGGAACTCATTAACCTTATTCAATATTACATTGATTCTCGTGTGAAAGATCTGAGAACCGGACCTAAGCCAATCACAAGTAGCGCTGTGTTTCTCAAAGGCATTGTAAGCCTATATAGATCGTAGAGGCTGTTGGTGCCAATGGCTTTGGGAAACACAGCCCATGTATGGGCTCACTCTAGGTGAGCAAGCTGTTCTCATTCCCAAGCATCAAAAACTGAAGCAAAAACTGGTCGAACAGCTTGTGTGTTGAAATAAAAATGCTATTTTGTCTCTATATTATTGAACTATGAGCTGTATTGATATTGATGCTATATTGATATTGGAGCTGTACTGACTGTATTGATGAACTAGGAGCTACATTGCTTTCAAAAGTTTGCCTTATTCATCTTTTGTATGGACATTCAGCAAATTATTGAGAACAAAGTACATTGTTTATGTGGATTTAGCCATTCAGGTATTTAAAAATTAAAGCATTTGCTATTCAGCAGCATTTAGCTCACATGAACGCTAATCTATATGATGGTAACTTTAAATAACCCATTATCCTTCAACCAAATTCATATTTAACTCATGTATTACACAAGCAGAACTTGAAACATAATTATATTCATAAATGACAGTTAAAAACATCCCCAAAACAGTGCACAAACCTTATTAAATGAGTAATTCAAATACAACAGCCAATGGCAAGTCCCCAGCAGCAGATCTTTCAATATTTTTGTCTTTTTTTGTTAGAAGTAGGTGTGTTTACTAAAATAGCAGATTTAGCATAAAATTAATAAACCTAATGAAGCCTAAACAAAAAAAAAAAAGCTCCAAAGTTTCAGGAATTATCACAAAATGTTACACACTTTAATTACAATTTAACTTAATTTTTGCAATAACCTTAGTATTTGACATTTTACTTTACATTTGTGTCTTGGGAAAAGTCATGAGAAACCAAAGTAAATCTGATTTGTAGAAAGTGCCATAAAATGCATGATTGTGAATGTGGTAATTGACAAAAATAAAAACAAAATGTGAATACTAAATGCCACTGGAAAACCAGAAAGCTTGCATCAGGAGTTTGTGTTGCTGACATGTTTCTTCTGAGTATTCAGTAAATAATGAAATGGAAACTTCCTCTTTCACTGCCTCATTACTGGGTTCTCACAGGTTTGTTGTGCATGGACTGACCACCGGTGAGACCTATGTCTTCCGTGTTCAAGCCATCAACGAGCTGGGTCTCAGCGATGAATCCCAGGAATCGGCCCCTCTTTCTGTGAGAGCCGCTCTTAGTAAGTCTGCCTTTCACAACCCAGTCTCCTTTGATATCCATCAAGAAGCCATTTATTTTTATCCTTTTCCTCTTGCAGACACACCAAACACACCAAACACATTCAAAAGCAGTTTTTTCAAAAGCTGTTTTTCAGCAGGAGGTGTTTGGTATTGATAAACCCATGGTGTACAAATGACAAAAAGAAAAGCACCTACCAGAAACAGCCCACCAGACTTCTTTTTAATGACTTTACAACAGGCTGGAAAAGGCCTTTATTTATCTTTATTCATAGGGAGTGCTCAGGAAAGTTGCCACACAATAACAACAGGAAAGATTAACTCTAGACGTATATATATATATATATATATATATATATATATATATATATATATATATATA